CCATGCCTTCCACTGGTAACCATGAAAATATATTATCTAGATTTGTCCATCTCTTCATCAACATCCTTTCAGGTCATTATGGTGTCATGGTAAAAGCAACTGCAAAGAGCTGCGGTTCCAACAAACAGGATGTGTATGTACACTAAATACAGTGTTTGAAGTTAACATCACAGTGTGTGTAAAATTATACACAATCATTATATAAAAAGATAACCATCAAACTTAATTTAAAACCAATATTTATGCAAAAGTGAGGCAGGATGAAAGTGGAGAGGGAGCTGGGGTTGGTGAAGGTGATGGGACTGTGAGGGAAGGTCCCAGCTGCTGTTACTTTTTTTGCTTTGTTCAGCTCTCCGCTTGGTTCGGCGTATCTGTTTAAAGGACTGACTGCCCGTCTGCCTCATTTTCTCCATTCTTTTCTCCATTTTTCTGATTCGGCCCACCCTTCTCAACACACCACATCCTTCTCTCCTCTGCATGCGGAGGGGAAAAAACGCAGACCGTAATTATCCAGCTGGAACTGCTCATGGGGCCATTCTGGCTGTATTAAATTCATTACCAGCCAGAGAAACAGATTTTTGAATACTCCCTCAGCACAGATTGTGTTTTCATTCACATTAGGTTATAAATGACACTTTGATTGTCAGCTTCAGAGTCACATCCCTGGAACTGGTGGCGATGCTCTGATACACTTGACTTCAGGTCCAACGGTGACATTGTTTCCTACCTCCTCTCTGTCTCTTGGAGATTTTAGAAGTAGAGGTCAAAAGGTCAGTTACCGGAAGGTAGCCAGTGGTGAATCCAGCACATCCGTGGAAAGAAGCATTTGGGGAAATTCAATGGAAAGCACTCTTCCCTCCATCAGCAAAAAAGGAAGCCTCAGGAGGTTTGAAGGATGAGGAAAATCCTCCACAGCAAGACCACTTTTCTGCTTCGTTCTTCCATGACTGGCTAGCTGGAAGTGAAGTAAATGGACTGGATAATGGCTAACTTAACATGCTTCAGGATTCTGTTTTTCACTTGGTTACGCAACTTACCTTGTTTTGGGTCACTACATGTAGTCTTACTCAAATGTACAGTAATAACTCAGTTAAACCTGCAATAACAGGTTTTTTTTTTTTTTTGGCAGCAAAACAAGCTGTTGGCTGTTTGGTGACTTATGTGTTAGCAAACAGCAGCTTATTTATACATCAAGCAGAAACAGAATTTGCATTCATTTGTTTCTGTGAATCTGTTGAATATAAGTCCAACATTAAATCGCTTTTTAGCGCTGTTTTGGTCTCCACCACCTCCTAAAGGAAATCTCTGAAATATCTCTTTAGCTGCTAAATGCGCCACTCTGTTCAACAGCTAATTGCTAACTTTGTCTACCTAGTGTTTGGTGCTGGACAGGTAGTGTACAGTGGGTTTATCAATGATTTTTTGGGATAAAAAAAAAAACAAAAAACATTTTGCATTACACCTATTCATTCGATCCATTATTAATATAAACCTTTTGAGTAGTGCAGCTTTAAGAACAACCAGAACCCTGAACCTGAAGCAGATAAATGGCTTTCAGCCATTGTTAATGTTTATTATTTACACCTGCAAAGAGGAACGTTCTGTTTATTACTCAACAGACCTTCCTCACAGCACACATTTTGATTTATAATGAGTTAAAATAGCTACTGTGAAAAGGGTATTTATGGCAATAAGGGGACAGATAAAGCTAAATACAATCTGTCTTTGAGGTTAGCCAAAATTTTGAATATAATAGTTATTATCAACTGTCCAAACTTTCAGGGGTGGAGCTGCAAAAAGGGGGAAATTAGTCAGTCCACTGAATCCTGTATTACACAGATGTCTAAGCAGAAATCACACACAGAAACTCTCTGATAGAAGCTTGGAAATCAACCTTTATTGAATACTGTTTTTTTAAAAAAAAAAAAAAAAAAAAAAGAAAAGAAAAAGAAAAAAGAGTCATGTCAACCAACAAAGAAAATCATATACAGTTGGGTCCAAAAGTCTGAGACCACTTTCCCATTCACATGGGAATGGAAAAGTGGTCTCAGACTTTTGGACCCAACTGTACGTCTTTCATATTTGCTTCAGTACTGCTGTTTATACATGTAAAAAAAACACTGGTTAACATAATGCATCTCAACTCATCATGGGATGACAGATCTGATAACAACTGTTTCCCTTTAAAGCACTGATCTTGCATCTTTATGGCATTTATACTGTAATTCTTTCTTGGGTATCAATCTTCTACTATGAGAACAAATTAGGAAAAGATGCACTGCTGAAACCAAGGTAACACTGTATTGCATCTCTAGACAAACTTTCACGTTAAAAAATGTTTATTTCAAAAATGAAAATGCATTTCTCATTGACACTGTGTCATTAATAAAGCTCAACTGAGGTGATGAGATCTGCTTTGGTTTAGTTAGAGCTCCTGATCACTCAGCTCCATGAGAAGAGGGAAAAAAAAACAAAAAACCAAGGTGCAGTTTGATGGTGCAGCAAATTACAAAGTAAAACACCATAATTGTGTTTCTGAGTTTGGGATCTGGTTTACTTTTTTTTTTTTTTTTTAAGGCACAATGAATTTCTTGGTAGTGCCACGTCAGAGGCAATACTGATCTACAAACAGTTGTGTTTTGTATGTTTTACTTTCAGTAAATGAAATGAAAAGCCTGTCAGCCTATCAGCTTCTACTATGCATTAGTTTACGAGCGAAGGCAGTATCCAGTGGAGTCTCTCAAGGTCATGCTACCAATCAGTAGGAATTAATTAAATGGAAGTGTACCAATTGAACACTTGTCAATTTTCCCAATGATATTACCACATTACACAGCTCTTTCTATGAATTTTCCAAGGCAATTGTTAGGAAATTATTCTGAACAGACTCCTAAAAAAAAAAAGAAGGGGAAATACAGTCAAATTTGATGCTAGAAATTTTTTGGGACATACATGCATATCTTGCTCGGATCTCATCTTGTTTACGCTTAATTTAGCAATGTATCACAATTAATTTGATAATTGTTACACGTAACACCTTGTTATTAAAACTCCAGCAGGCTAATTAAAATTTCTTAAGCGAGATTAAAAGGCGTTTTTTTTAGTGAAAATGTGAATGTGGATTATACACATTTGTGAAGCAATGTACATATGGACCTTTCCCTTAGCTCAGCAGTGGAACCGCTTCTAAGACGCGGTGACTGATAACGAATGCATGTAGTAACACAACGGTACAGGGCATAACTGAATGACGTACATTAAAATGAAAGTATATAAAAGAAAAAAAATAAAAAATCAAAGAAGAAAATTCCAGAAGGCACTGGATATAAAAGGAATACCAACATTTTTCAACTGCTTTTCTACACCCTGAAGTCAAAATCTCATATTTCTGTTCTTTCTTGTTCATTTGTGGAGGATTGATGTTCCCTATTTTTCCCAATTTAGCATGAAGTTGCTAGCGGCGTCTTTTCGCCGGCTGGAAAAGAGCAATGAGGGCATAGTGCACACCAAGAGTCACTCAATTTTTGGTGTCCCCCCCCCCAATTTACACAGCATAAAATGTAACTGGATTACTTTGTTTTTCAATGTAGCTGAGGGGTTGAGAAATGCTGGTAAGACTTTTAACTGGCTAGCTGTTGTGTTTCTAAATTCTGCGCACAGTGTCCGTCTTGGTGGTTGGACACCTTGTCGATATTCAAGTACTCTCCTCTATTTCTCTCGGGGAGTAAAATAAATTAGATGCTCTTTGAACTGCCCTGCAGTTGCAATGTGACCTGCAATGTGACCGGTGATGATAAAATTGAAGACATAAAACACACATAATGGTATCAAAGTACAGTATCAGGATTGTGTATAAAAAAAGGTGAGGAGAGACGTTAACCTGATTTCTGTTTGCTCGATTTCAATGTCCCAATGTTAACAAAAACAAATACATACTGTAGTTGCCCAGCAGTCTATGTGCGCAGATACCAAAACAAACAAAAAAAAACAAAAAAATATATATTGCTGTTATCTAAATTTAACTACATGAAAAGATGGTTAAGGACAATATCCAAAGCCTCAAAGACGTCAACCAACGTAGCATTCAAAATCGCATCTCAAAGTAAAAACATACCTTCCATATAACATCTGTACACTTCCCTGTCACTGAATGGTACAAAGACTGGACCACAAAATCATGTAACTGTATCATTTCTGCATTAAAGAGTTGGAATTTGTTGGGTTAGCATGTTGTTGGATGAAAGAAACGTCGCAAAAAGGTGAAGAAAAAAAAATTCACTTAAGCTCTGAGTTTCCCTCATGGGATTCATAAAATATATCTATCAAGAACAAAGGTCCAAAACTTAAATTTTTGACAAATCACATGTTTTTCTTTGTTACTTAACACCATTAACAACATGACTGATTTTTGAAATTGCTTTAAAACCCAATTCCCAAAAAAAAAACCTCACAACAATGGAGTAATACGCCAATCTATTCTCTAACCTGGTTACTCAGATTTCCATGTACAACCTACTTTTCACCTTAATTCTCAATGGCATAACTCAGTAGTTGATATAAACAACAAAGAAATTTCATCCATTGCAGTATTCTTCTGTGGACTTCCTGTCCCAACATGCTTTGCTGTCCAGCAACAATCCTCCCTGATCTCACAAACGCCAACACAAAGTAAAATATTTCTCAGAATCACCCCATTCATTCACTCTGTATGGGACCGAGCGTTAAGTCAAACTGCTCGTCAAAATCATTTTTCTTGCTCATGAGCGAATGCTAATACCCTGTAGGAAATGACCACTCTTCACTTTGGCACTTGGGCATCGAGTTTAGTAAAAATTCAGTTTTCATATCAAGTTTCTCTGATGTTATCATGCTAGGTGGTAGCATGTGTGAAATAACTAAATTACCAGCTTTAGGTTTAACTTGACACTCTTTCCCATACAAGAAGAGAAGCACAGAATGGCTGGGATTCATAATCTTTGGCTTATAGCAGGAGTATCTTTGGCAGCGAGGACCACAGCCTTCAAACTGAAAGAACTGGTCAACAGAGCGTTAAGTCTGTGTATCAAAGCGGGTGCGTTTGGGGGTGGGGTAGGAGAGGGGTTTGTCTATGTGATTCAGGGGCGGAGGCTGGGCGGGGGACGCGATGGCGGTGGACAGGGTAGCCCCGGGGGCGTGCGGGATGGTGGCGGACCTGGGAGTACCTGGCCTGGTGGGGGTGATCTGGCAGGAGGGCTGCTGGAGGTGGGAGACGAGGAGGCGGTGCGGGTGACGGGGCGGTAGTCTGGTGGCGGCGGCGAGGGTGTGTCCATCGGGGTGCGAGGTGCGGCCTTGGCTGCTGCTGCTGCTGCTGCCGACTCGTCCTTCACTCTTGTGAAGTTGATGCAACGACCCTAAAGGAAAGGAAAGAGACATTATTGATTAAAAAAAAATGATAAAAAGATATTAGATTTATTTTTTTAGCCAGTGTTCCACCACTGGTCCAAAAAGAAATGTCTGCTCCTGTAATTTTGTACAGATTCATGGTGTCCAGATGTTGAATCGCAATGACTTAATCTTGTGACTGGTCAAATTTTTTTTACTTCTATTTATGCCCAAAATACCTGAAAAATGGACGTGCCCAATGTGTTTAGTGCATTTAATTACGAAATATTAAACTGTGAATGTGGTAAACATTATACCTGCTAAACATCAGCGTCTTAGCATTGTCATTATGTTTCCATCCAACGTTTTGAATGTATTTTAAAATCTGCACATAGAAAAACACAAAAACATCACATCTGTGTGCAGCGATGAAGAGCATGTCATGTTCCTTAAATTAATAAACAACCAACAGAAATTTAATGTTTTCATTATGTCTTCTATGTGGTTTTAGACTTCAGCGTGTTGCGCCCTCTTCTCCGACTGGAGAATTAGCACCACCAGCTGTTTTTTTAGCAGATGGAAATTAACTTTAATTTGGGTTTTTTTTTTTTTGTTTTTTTTTTCAGTTTCTGTAAATAATTAAATTTTAATGAAAATTTGTTCTACATTTGGATGGAAACCTGACCAGTGATGGGTTTAAATAAGGATTATAACAAAGAATAAAAGTTCAGAGTATACACTGTATGTGTTTCACATGAAAATACACCAAAAATATAAAATTAATATGAATATGTATGTGATATTAGAAAGAAGAGTATATGTATGCTTAATCTACAATGTATATGCACAATACAACAGCTGGCTTACATGAATGTAGAATCAGGCTAGAGTATGACATAGGATACACACGCATATACCTTCAGGTAAAGACACACGGGTCTCTAACCTGCATTTGGGCTAAGAAGTGACATCAGTTGACCACATGGTCACAGTACAGTCACCACTCTTTGTCTCTCTTTGTGTGTGTGTGTGTGTGTGTGTGTGTGTGTGTGTGTGTGTGTGGCCAGCTGGTGTTCCAGATTACACTTAAATCCCCACTCTGACGCCCCCACTCCAAATTATCCCGGTTAGTCCAATGTTCTGTCCCGGCAACCGTGACTCGCCATGACACCATATGGAAACATGGGGGAAGGATTGGGGTTAGAGGCTGGGACTGGTGTGTGTGTTTTTGGGTGAAGGGTGGCAGGTGGTGGGTGGGTGGTGGTAAAAGGTTGCAGTTTATCTGGAAGTTTATACCAGTGTAAGGGTGACTTATATTGTAAAACAAATGAATTTGTTCCAGCAGAAATCACATTTCACTCCTTAGCGTCCCGTAAAATATTACACTGACCGCAAACGTCAGCCAAGTTCATAGAGGTTGCCGTTGTCATAGCAACCCCGCCCGCTCCATAGTTGCATATGGTTGGCAGCCGGAGCGGAGTGAAGTAATGTTAATCTGCTAATAACCAGTATCAGTGATTGGAGCCACGGGACCATGGTTTTACAGAGTGGAAAATGAGAGAACAGGAATTGATGTCACTCATAAAGCTGTGTGGGATCAGTACAGCTCATTCCATCTTTCAAAAGCATTACGCATAATTTGGTCTTTTTTTAATTTTATTTATTTATTTATTTTTTTACATTTTTCAAAAGGTTTTAACTTATTGAAATGTCTATAGAGAAAAGGCCTGAATGAAACACAATGAATGTTGAGATAGTGTAACATATCAGAGACGGGGAAAACAATACCAGACAGAAGAAAATAATATATTAACCAAACTTAACTGAGGTAATTCTTCAATATCCTACACTAAACTTTTGCCCTCGTCTCCAGCAAACCATTCCTGCCCTCTTTTATTTAGCTGAACATCTCTGCATCTACCGCAGACTCCTCTCCAGCACTGATGTTGAACTTCAACTTTGCCTCTCAGCAGATCAGATGCAGATTAAAGCTACCAGAGAGGTTGGATGATTGAGATCTGAGAGATCAATGCATCAGGAACTGAAATGCATACACGACATGGTATACATGATATAAGCAGAATGATGTCTATACACACATGTATATAGTCACACTGAGGCAACATTTGGCAGGAAATCAATGAAAACAGTCCTGGAGGACACATTCCATTCATCCCGACTGGTAAATTAGCTGCTGAGAGCAGACGCAAAAAAAGTTGAGCAAACAGAGGGGAAAAAGGACAAGAATTTAGCAGCGACCTCCAGTTTCTGGTCTGTCGCCACTTATCCAGTCTGGCATTCCAAGACGTAGATGGAAAAAAAAAAAAAAAAGCCTGTGTGAGGATCCTCTCAAATTCTTTAAAACTGTTTTCTTGCCTGAAGTGTACCCCTTCCCCTTTTTGCTTGTTTAATGTATTCTCTGAACTAGCACTGCACTTTGGCTCCATCCCAGACAGGATTTAATGAGAGACAAATGCAAAGCTGGTTTGGGTAACAAGTTGAATCAGAGATATGTGTTGAAACACTTTGTAGTTCCACAAAACAGCTTGAAGTGCCAAAAATGAGAAGTTGCAGGGGAATGCCTTCCCCTGAATATTAAGACGCTCTGCTGGGAATGTTTGCATGCTACACTATGGTAATAGGCCTCCTGATTTTTATCACACAGTAAAGGAAGTGAATAGCATAATGGCATGAAATTAAAATAAATGCATGAAAATGAATGATGCAGAAAATAACAGGAAAATAATATAAAAATGATTTTTTTGTGGCAAAATTTTTCACATTGAGTTGTTTCCAATTAACAGTAACGACAATACAGGACAAAAAAGAGAAAAAACATTGGGAAATATGCTTCTTTGCTTCATTGCCAAAAGTTTTAAGAGAGGACTGACCTGACTCATGTCTGTACGATAAACATGAAGCTACTGTACTGCCAATAGATGGCTAACTTGGCTTAGCACAAAAACTGGAAACAGGTAAACATCTAGCTCACTAATATACTTGTTATATCTTGTTTGTTTGATTTGTACAAAACCAGAAATGTAAAAACAACAAATTAATTAGTGAGTTTTAGAGGCGCTGGTAGTCCGTCTCGCTCTTTCCCCCTGTTTCCAGCCTTAGTGCTAAGCTAAGTTAGCCGTCTGGAAGAGGCGTCGTATTTAGCATACAGACATTAAAGTGCTAATCATCTTTTATGTGAGAAAAAGTGGCAGGTTTAAAACTAAACAGATACGGTTGAATTACATGTGCATGTTTTGTGCACTGTATATATATATATTTTTTTTAACCCAGCTTCGCTTCATGTACATTGTTCTGTTAGCGGCCAGCTGTGGTTTGAATCTCCGAACATTTTCCTGGATTAAAGAAAGCCACACTCTTTGGTGATCTCCTCCACTGTCTGCAGTCTTACCAAGGTCATAAAATTGTCTAGGCTTGGGCAGTGTGTGTGTGTGTGTGTGTGTGTGTGTGTGTGTGTGTGTGTGTGTGTGTGTGTGTGTGTATATGTTAGTGCGTGTGTGAGACATGGTCAGTTGGTCGATGGAGACAGCCTTGGCAGACATCTGCCTTAGGTATTACCTCATGTCCTTTAGCCAGCTAAATGCTTCCCTGGGGAGGATTGTATTTATATGAGAGAGAGAGAGACTGTGGACTAGCTCTACCTCATACTGTATACTCTGACGTCAGTGTAATGATTGTGGTTTGGTGACACACACGCTCATAATGGCTAACTCCTGTCTCAAATTTAGATAACTTCATCTAGCGGCCTTAACTCTGGTGAATTATGTGGTTATGTATGTATACATATATAAAGTATGCATGGACACACACACACACACACACACACACACACACACACACGCTCAGCCACTCTGCTCTACATCATAGTACTGTGCAGAGCCTATGCTAAGCAAACAAGAAGAGGGGTTACTGGGTTCATTGCTGGGAAAGAGGAAAGTGTGTTTATGTGTGTGTGTGTGTGTATGTGTGGTCAGTAAAGTAAATGAACACTACAGCAGAGGAGATCCATTTTCTATTAGTGCGGCTGGATTCATTTGGAAGAACTAACTACATTACTGTCATTAACCCAGGTGCTGAAGTCATGAGTTGCTTGTGTTAAAGTTAAAGTCAAGTGATTTTATCAATTCAAGAAAATGTCAGATTGATAGAGTCTTGAGACCAACTGACATGACTCATGTCCATTAAAATAAGGTCAGCAGTAAACATGACAAACAAGCCACCCGTGTAAAATGCTTCATTTCCTGTGTGGTAAGAGATTATTACCGGTACAGAGCTAACTCACAGGGAGTGTTTCAGACAGGAAATGGGAAAGGTTTAATGACCTGGATATGGGCTGAATTGGTGTTGCATTAGCTGTCATTTATTAGAAAATGTTTGGTTTTTTTGGGCCATTTGGCCTTTATTTCAATGACAGTGAGAGAGACAGGGAAGTTGGGGGTCGGGGGGTGACATGCAGCAAAGGGCCACAGGTCGGACTCGAACCCCGGAAATGATCATAAATCATTATGGTAATAATAAATAAATAAATGGTACGTACTCTACCAGGTGAACCACCGGGGCGTCTTCATTATAATGAAATCCCTTTGAGTACAGGGTAAATGTACTTGCTAAAACAGACACTGACGCAAAACACTCTTGAATTTGCTGCACAGTGGGGCATTCAGCTGTTGTTGTGGCGATCGGCAATGACAAACGCACCTTGGTGACAGAATGACCAATCAAGAATCCAGACTGGACTCGGCCAACATGCTCTCAAAGGTCTGGTCAGGGTGAGACCGCCACAGGAAAGTTAACACCAAACAGCCTCTCAGGTGACACTTAAAGCAAGGAAAGAGGTGGCCACTCTTTCCCCTGTGAAATACAGAAATGAAGCGACCCGCTGGTCTGGGAGATGTTTCTTTCATAACAAACCGCAAATGACTTGAGGAGGCGACATCATTTCAGTGGAAAGAGACACACGATTTCTTCTAGAAAATAAGCAGTGCGTCATGCACAGCTTACGTATGCGGCCATTGCTAAAAGCGTCTTTGGGGGAAGAGAAATTCTTTGAGGAAGGAAATCAAATCCCAAATCTTTTTTTATCTGACTGCCAGTTTGCTTTGGTAAAGATCTAAAAAAGCTAATGGTGACTTTTTGTCTCATTTGACTCGGGGATAGCTGAAAGCTTATCTGGCGGCAAATCCTGCGTCTATACCTGCTCGCGGTGCCAAGAAAACACTCTTAAATGTGGAATTCCCGTTAAAAAAGATCATCGGAAAATTTTCTGCTAATAAGGCATGGTTTTAACTAGCGCTCAGGACGCGACCTGATCAGCAGGAGAGTCGGCTGTGGAGAGGAGCAAGAATAGAAAAGGTGTGGGGAAAACGTGCCCAGTTATTTACATTTGATTCACATATTGTTGCATGTGAATTGCATGTAGAACACGGAAGTCCTGCAGTTTATGTTTACCATGCACCACTAAATTTCTCGTTTTAGTGAGTCTCATTTAGACTCATGAAGGTGGAAATAGTTATAAAGAATCACCAGAACACATTTTGACATTAAAACTGAATTTGCTAAATGTGTCAGGGAGATTTAAAGCCCTCAAGAGCTTCTAAACTCAGTGAACTTCCATCTTCTCTCCACATTCAACCCAAACCCTTATCTGGGGCGTTTTGATACATGAGGCTGTGGGAATTAAAACTAAAACATGTGGCTGATCTGAGAAGAGATAATTTTTACCATCTTACACGCACGAACACATCAGAAAACATAAGGATGTGTCTGAGTGCGAGCTGCGGTTCTGCTTTCTATCCGATTTATAGCGTCTAATGTGAAGCAGGTGTGAAAATGAGGTTGGCTCAATGGGATGGACTCGGGCCAGCTGAGGTGTCAGCCAGCACAGGAACACCAGGAGTGAGGGGAAACAGGGGAAAAGATGGAGGAGGGGAGAACAGGATGAGTAATCCGTACAGATGACTGAAACATTTTCAGACTGTAGATACACCGGGGTTGTTTTAAAACTGAGCCAGTTTGGAGCTTAATAATGGGTTTTTTTGGTCAATCAGACATATTTTTCTCACCCTAGAGAGGGTTTTATCACACGTGTGACTGTATATAAACGAAAACACTTTCTGAAACTTTATTCGTCATAAATGACAAAACGTCAAAACTGAGCAGCTCCAGCACGGAGGGATGAGGAACAAGCTTCGGCTTTCTCTATATGTTAAAGTGATGTACATGGGTAAATACAGAAATTTTTAAGCCTTTACAAAACCAAAAAAGTGTTTGTTTATTTGCATTAAAATAAGCTGCAAACTGTTGTCTGGCTAACTAGCTTCCTGCTGTACAGTGAGCTGGTTTATATGGTTTATATGTTTGTATGAAGCATTTTATACCACATTATTTTTGGGGTGTACAGGTTAAAAGAAATCCTTTAGCGTATCACATTCGCTGTGTAGACGCTGGTTGTAGATGCTACTAACATTAGCATCTCTGTCCTGCCCTTTACTTGACTTCAAGAGTGAAACACACTGAAATTATGAGCAGTGAGTCTAACCTCTGGAGAAAGGAAGGGTGAAGGAAAGGAAGAAGAGGGTGGTGCTGCTGTGGGTCACTGCAGGTATAAAACACTACAGGAGGGAGGAATTGCAGGCATAACAAATGTGAAACAGGGGAAGTGAATGAGAGGCGTGGGTGAAAGCATCTCATAAAATGAAAAAATTTCCCACAGTACACCGCTGAGTTACTCACATGATCCCCGGGCTGGGGTCTCATCAGAGAGACCTGGTCGTACCCGCGGCGAAACAGAGCCCAGATAGCGTCCAGTTTACCCTGAACAGGACAGAAGCAAGAGACAGGTTCAACAGCTGGTCACATCTGGACGTCAAACTCTTCCACACCGCAATCCATAACTTCATACAATCCTGTTAATGCTGATTATACAGTATCAGCGAACATTTGGTCTGTGGTTCTTGGTGAACGCCAAGCGTCCGCAGGTTTTAACCCCAAACAAACACAACATACGCTGATTTGACTGATTAGTTCCTTCCTCTCTGGCTGAAACGCTTTAATCATGATTAGTCACTACGGTTACATCAAGACTCGTGGTTATATTTTGGTGCATTTCTCATTAACCTAATACACAAACGCATGAACCTTTTTCATTCCCTATAAATGAGCGTCTGTTTCCACAAATAAAGTTTTTCCTTTTCACAAAAAATACGACGATCTGCGTGGGATAAAAAACAAATGAAAGACTTAGCGACTTGGCAGGAGCTTTCTTCTAATACACAGGAAATAAATGTTGATCCCAGCAATAACAGTAATAAGAAATCCAGGGTACATGTAGTTCAGCGAGAACTGTATGAAGATAAGACTGAACATTTAACTTTTGACTGAGCTGAAGGGCAAAAGCCACAAATCTGTTGAATTAAATGGATTAAAGGGGAGAATCCTCCTTCCTCACATAACGGGTAAGGTACAGTGTTCCTGTAGACTTAAACTGATTTTAAAATCATACACTAAGGTGTAGCAATGCAGAGCTGCACAAGGACCAACCACAACCCAACACACAGAGACTGTGTGTTGTATAAATTCACCTTTTTTTCTTTTTTTTTTTCTTCGAGTGTAAAATTTCCCTGTGAACCACTGCAGTGCTGTCTGTAGAGCTGTGGCATGTTAAAATAAAGTTGTACGGTGGCAGTGTAAGTACAGATAACAGTGCTGCTACTGTATAAAAGGCCAGTGTTGCTACACAGAGCTGTATTGAAGAACAACCAGCACTGACGCCAGGTCTACTGACGTCTGACTGTCTGCAGTAAATGTTGTATCACTAGTTATGTGTGAACATTGATAGTTGTTGAATTTTGTGCTTATGCAGCAAATGATACATAAACATGGTTGGATTAGGCTTTATTTCTCCCTGCTGTCTTGAGAAAACTTGTGGTGCTTTCCATGTTTTAACTTCAGCTGGAGGAGGAGAACATTTTGCCACCCTCAGTTATTTGAAACTTGGTGGGCAAGAGCTTAAAAAAAAAAAAAAAAATGTACAGTGGTCAAACTGTAAACAAGGCAGATTTTTGAGTCCCTGAAAAGCTGGTATTTTGTTTCAGGACGGCAAAGGATGCATTTACAGTATGTGCGTGTTCTTCTGTAGATTGTCTGCCTGCAGTATGTAGGTCAATTAATGCTGTTATATTATGTATCTATTATTGTCTGCTGGTCCTGAGGGAAACCAAGGCTGTATTTACCCGGATGGGTGTGTACCACTTCCGGCTCTGAGGCGGCTTCTTGCTCTGAGGTTTCTTAGGTTTGGGCTCGAAGGGTTCGTACTCCTGCTCCGGCATTTTCACCACAGCATTCTTCGGCTTCTCCAGCTTAGCCCCCTCCTCGGTCGAACCCTTTCCTCCCCAGCGCACCTACAGACGGCAGATGAAGCGTGACTATACAAACAAAATAGAGGCAGTGATTGTTGTCTAAACTAGTGTAACTCCATCAGCTTTATGGGTTGTGGATTTAATGATCACCTCCATCCTCTTGATTCCTCCAATTCCTCTTCCTCCATAATATGAAGCATCCACAGTCGGCCACTTCTTCTTCGGCATGCCATCTTCATCATCTGACTCCTGAAACGCAAATAATGAAAGAAAAACAGACTTTTTTTCCTCTCTCTGATAATTACTTTCTAACGTACAGAGGCCACCAATAGTAATAGATGACAAATAAAGATGTATTCATGGCTTTTCATATTTGTTTTTCTATACTGTAGGAGTGCATTACAGTGTGTTTAGTTGTGTTAAATAATGCAGTGGTGTGTGTGTGTGTGTGTGTGTGTGTGTGTTCTGACGACCAGGCTCAGGAGGAGGTGGAGGAGGTGGTTCTTTGATCACCTGTGGAAAAATAAAGCACATGACATGTTCAGTGTTATGAGAGCTGGAAAACAACAGGCATCGTTTAGCTTGTCACAAACAAATTAATCACGCCTCCTTTTACACCTCAAAGGAGCTCGTAAGATTTTTTTTTTTTAATATGTTGTAGGATGTAGTTTTTGTTTCTTACCACAGTGCAGCAGAGAGGCCAGAACCACCACATGAAGAGCAGGGCCAGCAGCAGGAACAACACCAGCAGGGTGATGAGGAGAATGGTGCCATCGAACTGGTGAAAAGACAAACACGGCAGTTGTACTTTACTACCATGGCACCAAGACTGATGTAGCTGGACAGAGATTTAAACTACAAATACATAGGGAGCAAATGTCTTTACTACTTTCCCCCTTTCCACCCCTGCCTAACATTCGGCCAGAAGAAACCCTGACTGAAGTGATATGTACATTCATGCATCAGTATTAAAATATCTGAAACTTTAATACAGTGGCCCTGAGAAGCTCAACACACCACAACTTGAGAAAACACATGCAAACAGACAAAACACAAACGAATTCAGAAAACAGCTTCCTAGATTTGACAACACAAACATGCTGCAAATACTTTGAACACACCCAAATACAGAAACAAGACAACAGAGGAAGTGTTCACAGGGGACACATAAAAGTTGTTGTTCAGTGCTTGATGTGATGGTTGGAAGTTGTCATCTGTGATTCTTTGCAGTGCTTTTCTGTATTTGCTTATGTCGTGAGTATTTGCACGTGTTTTGTTAAGTTGCAGTGCGCAAGGCATAACTTCCATCTTCTTATACACTGTGGTATTACTACTTTTTACTGAAGTAAAAAGTCAGAGTCCTTCTTCCAACACTGGCAGAAGTAACAGCCTTTCTGCTGTAAAGTAACAGTAACTGTAGCGATAGAAAACAATAGAGGTAATAGCGGCAGCAGCAGTACAGTACTTGCAGCAGTGATATTATTAGTAGCAGTAGTGATAACAGTATAATCATAGTGGGTTGACGGGAGAAGCCTGCAGACTGATTCTCTTTGTCAGTGTTGATATTTGTGTTTTTCATGATGACACTAGTTCATGTAAGTTGTGTGATTCCTGAATGACTCCCATCAGTGTACATTGCTCACTTAAAGCAAGGCAGGCGTGCGTGAGCCAAACATGGTTCCCATTACAGACCGCAGATGGGGATGACATGTAGTGAGACTTTCCCCTATCTGTCTTGTGGCGAAAAAACGTGGGGGATTTATCTGAACTCGACTGTGGGGTCGGTCGCAGAAGACGCTTCGCTGGAACCAAATTACTATTCCTCAGAAATCTCCCAATCAGCAAGTTGGCAACTCTTGTGGGACACTGGTTTAGCAAACAATTCAGAAAATTTCAACAGTGGTCACATCTGCATTTTGCAGCTTATGCACATATGAAGCATGTGTTTTCCCATGCTATATGGGCATATTTTGTGGGCAAACTTTTAAAAGGCTGGAACCCATCAATATGGTACTTTGACGGAGTGTGGGGAGGGGCTGCAGGGGTTTATTGGGTTTATGAAGTTTGTTTTCAGACTTGATTTCTCCCTAGACTTTAGCTTGCATGCTGTTTATTGGACCAGGCGTATCCATCTCCACTCAGCAACTTGTCGTGCCATTTTAAACCTGATGTGACTTCAGCCTATATGGTTTAGTTTAGTGGTGAGAGGCGGCTAATTGGGATGGTATGTCTAATTGAGCTCTGTATATCACTAACCACAACACAGCAGTTTGAATTCACAGTGTTTTCATGGACATGATGTCACATGGACTGATGGAAAACAGCTTCAAAGCGTATATTTCTTTTTCGCTGGGTGGGATTCTGCTGGAGCCTCGGCCCATATGTTCCAAAACACGTTTTATTTTGTTAAATTGCTTTAAATTGTCTTAAATTGCATCTTGTTTAATCTTGGTTTTTTAGGCAGTGAAGCTCCACCCTGCTTCATGCTGACACAGCTATATACAGTCACACACCTCAGACCTATAGGAGTCTCAGAGTGCAGCTCCAGCTGAGGGGAAAATGGTTTGCACAAGAGCACTTCAGTGGTGGCTGTTACAGGATGCTTCTCTTTCACTTTTACAACCAAAATGTTGAGATTTGAGCTCCGCAGCTTCACGGTCATGAACTTGCTTCTCTAACCTCTTGTCTCCTGCCAACCCTGTGGGGGGGGGGGTCAGATGATCTTTTTTTGGGTGGATCACTACTTACAAACCCCCGTGGTTTGGCTCCCGAAAAAAATGGGGGAAAATAACAAAAGTGAGAAAGGGAAGATGAAAGAGATAAAGGAGGTAAGGAAACTCACTGCAGAGAGCAAAAACAGCTGGCGTCTAGAAACAGTTGGTAAGAGACGGAGGTCGGAGAGGAGAAAAGAAGAAAGAAGAAGACTGTAAACCACATGCAATTCAAGAAGAGATTACAAAACCTACTAAAATCTCAAGATTAAATCCATGATTTCATCTTTGAAGTTAAAAATCTTTAATTTCGCCATTTGAAGATATTACAACCTCCTCGGGTACAAAGTCCAACGTTTTATTTTTACTGCGTGTGCTGTAATTTTTGCATTAGTGCTGCACTTTGCTGCACATAAGAAGAACTCGTTGTGTGTTTTTTAAAAAAAAAAAGAGTTTTTTATTTAAGATGCACTAATATAATTGTACTGAATCACACCCTGAAAGATGAAATGCATCAGTTGGGGACGGTATAAGAAACTTCCACTTACACACTCTGTAGTGGTGATGTGCACGTTGCTGCTGATGAAGGACAGACCGTCATTCATGCTCACTTGGAGATAAATCACCCTGAAACAAAACAACAGACACAAACGGTGAGTATCTCAGTGTTTGGATGAAACATCACTGTTACAGATGCAGCTTTATTAGTTCACACTGTTTGGACCAGCTTATTTAGTCTGAAGCACTTCCTCCTTCAGCTCCGTTTGTTTGATCAGAGTGATGTCATTTGAACTCATGTTCAGGCCAAATAACGTCACTGCAAACCGCCTGCAAACTGTGAGCTGCTCCGTTAGTAATGACACTGTCATTTGAACCAACAGAAAACAACCACAAAAACACACAGGGCTCAGTCAAAGCAGACTGATTTTCAAGCTAAGAAGAAAGTGATGTTTGGGTTGACGCTCACATCCAGCTGCTTCTTCTAAGATTTGAGAAACTGGAATCACATTAGTTTTGACTCTTTACAGCTGGCAGAATCTCATACCTGGCAGGAGGACATGTTACGAAAAAACTCTGTCCAATAAATGAGCTGCTCTCTCAGTCTTGTGACTTTTGTTTACGAGCCTTGCTTCACTTGTGCTGTTTTTTTTTTCACAGCGGTTAAAAGAGAAAAAAACAAACTGCAGACATGATCTTGTGACCCAGTGAGACACACAGCAGGCACGGAGGATATGTGAATTTGAACAGAATGGAAATAGGAAAAAAAAAAAAAAAAAAAAACACGACCTGCCTGGTGAGATTGGGTTTTTTATTTTATTTTCGTGGTCAGGTTGTGTGTTTTTCCAAGACATGACACCATACTCCTTAGAGTGCAGCTCGAAGGAATGACAACAATCTCTCACATCCGTTCTTTTTTAAAAAAAAAAAAAAATCATAATTAAATCAAATCACACAGCTGATCAAAGTGCCGTAAAACATCAAGCAGAATACAATCAACGCAGAGAATCAAAACATCAACAGACAAGAAAGTAGCACAAAAAAACCCCCCAAAAAAAACAAGCAAGCAGACCAAATGAATAAATATGTTTTGAGCCAAGATTTAAGAGTTGATGGAAACGGTCTATGATCTCTACATTGACCTGCAAAATAATTTCCTTCAGTGGCAACAGAAAATACTCTGTGGGACCCCCCCCCCCCCTGCAAGAGTTCCTCTTGATGGTCTGAATCCCTTCCTCCTCTGAGAGGTGAAAAACAATTCTGAGAATTTCATGTGACGTGCTGTTCTTGTTCAGTTCTTGAAAACATTTGGATGAAAGACATGCTTTCTAAGCCCCCACCCCCCCTCTCAAACCCCCCCCAGGTGGATGTGAAAGAGGTCTGGCAGATGGAAAGCAGACCATGTGACCGATAAACCTGTCTTTGCTCTGACTCGAGCTGTCTGGGTTTAAAAAAAAAGAAAAAGAAAGGAGAGTGGAAAGAGAGAGAAGAGTTGGGTCAGTGGGTGAAGTTCATTATGGACAGCATATGAACCAACAAAAAGCTGGTACTTCAAGACAATCTTAAGGCTTAACAAGTGGAAACTTGACAACATGACAAGACAACATGTGACCACTTACATACATCTGTATATGTGCCAAAAGTCCGGCTGCCCACTTCGGTCAATTAACTTGCTTATTTTGATTTTTATTAATGATTAGAGGAAGAGAAAGAGAGGGGAAAATGACAAGAAGAAAACTGACCAGCGTGAATTTGAGGATGTGGAGGAGGAAACGTTTGTTGTAGAGCACTGTGTCGGACAGCTCTTAAGCAAGGAAATGAAACAGACTGGACAGACAGTTCAAGCATGAACACACACAGTTGAAAGAGACGGAGCAGACGCAGACATTCATCTGCCACTCGTTAGGTGGTGGGGGTCACCCTGAGACCTGCATTAAAGCACTTAAACAAGTACCTTGACATAGCCTGCATTCCTATTTACTTGTCTTCTTCTTGTGTATAACCAGCAAAACATAGACGACATTATGTCATGTCCTGATATTTCCAGCTGGATATATTTAGGCCGTCTAAAACATCAAAAGCAGATGCCAGGTTTTGGCATTGGTCTCTTATAATAAAAGAGCCTTTTCTAGAGCTCATATTTTGCACCAACATTCAATTATACATGAAAAAAGTTACTGGTGGAAGAGGCAGAAAGAACTATTTTATTTTATTTTATTTTTTACCGAAATGTGATTTTAGAAAGGAGATGGGTTGGGTTTTTTAGTAAAGGGCCGATTTAATTCTCAAATTTGTTGCCAAACAAAAGATATGAACAACTGCTAATCCATCAAAGACCGAAAGTTCATTTGTCTGGGTTTCAGTGGAGCTGAAACACTCTCTCAATGGTTTTTCCACCCTGCCGTGAATCAGGCTGCATACAAACACACACGGCCACACACTTGAAAGACCAGACGAGCTGCTACACAGCTTTGATCAGCCAAAAACTGGACGAGGAGACAGTTGAAAGAGAGTGGAAGACTGACAGGGGATGAAAGAGGGAGTTTCAGCGTGACAAAGATAAATAAATGACAGATACAGGGAGAAAAATGAACAGACGGGCAGACGGAGAAGGTGGGCGGGTGGGGGTCTGGAAAACAACCAGCAAGGCGGTGAAAAGAGCCACGGTGGCACTGAAAGTAAAGACAGAGGTGGAGAGGAAGAGGGGGGAAGGGGGAAAAGATAAGTGTGGGACTGGAGAGTCAGGAGGTTAAGTGTTCAGGCGTCAAGCGATAGAAAGTTTAAGAGCACTGAGGCAGCATTAAAAAATATACAAAGGCAGAACTGAACTGATTTAATGGTACGTTTAGGAGAAGCAAAGGTCCAAAATGTTCCCTTAGTTTTTACCACCTTTCTGCCGAGGTATCGATTAAAGTCCAAGTCATCCGTCCAGGTTGTTTAAATCTTTCACCGGCGCAGTTAAAATCCATTTTTCTCTTGCTTCCCACACCACAGCGGGTGCTAAATATTAACCGTTTTTAACCTGATTTATAACTTCTGTGGGATATTAAAATTAAGGAATTTGTATCATAATTACAAAATACCCTTAAAAGGTCAAGACGGCGTGCAAAGAAAGACGGGGACCACCCCTCCCTTCTTTGTCTCTCAATGTGTTTAAAGTCTTTAACCGCCGTCCACTGAACCATATAGTCTGTGGCCTGGTGTACTTTTCCTCCCATAAAGACTAAGGTTAGAGAGGTTTGTGGATTGTTGATGTTGGAACACGGTCGGGCTCTAAAAGGAGAGTATGGTCAGCTGATGAAGAGCAGTTCTGGCCGGTGGTAGGGTTACACCAGTAAACTGTGCGACCGTCGTGTGGTGAATGTTCGAGTGAACTCAACCTCAGTAGTCTTAGTTTTCACAACCCGTCACCTTCCCCCCCCTTTTGTCTTCAGTCAGCCAGAAAATAATGAAGTGATTATAACAAACTGAATCTTTAAATGCACACGCCAATAGACTTGATCTTAAACTGACAAACACAATCCACCGTAAAGAGATCTTCTCTTAATTTTTGATCAGAAAGGAAATGTTGATCGATTAACAGTTGACAACACAAGGAACGTGAGTGTCACAGTGAATCAGGTTCTTGCACATGGATCCACCATCGTCACGCAAAGGCACAGGGACTGTTGTATTTTTGTATTTATACTGTTTATTTGTCATTGTGTCGTATTTAACAGTCGTTTTAAAGCCTTTAAAGCTGCATCGTTAGATTCACTGTTCACTAACAAGCTTTAAACACAACGCTGACGTATTATCACCTTATAAAGTTCTTATGGAGAACATGTTAGCAAACAGTAGCTTGTTTTAGGCTGCTCCAGCAGAAAGGGAACAACATTAACGTTCATTTGGAGTCGCATTTCTGACCACTTTCCAAATGTAATCGCTTTTCAGCTCTGTTTTGGTTTTTCATGTCACTCCTCAGGGAAGTGTCTCGGCCCAGTTGCATAAAACACCTTAGGTTAAGATTTTCCTTAAAGTCTGAGTTAAGTTTTTCCTTAAAATGAAAACAGCCGCACAAAACACCCTTAAGTCTTCTCCTTAAGGTTTTCTTAAAACGTTCACTTAAGTGTTTCAGGATTTCTCCTTATCTTGGTCTTATACATAAGGAATCACTTAGTCAGTTAAACCAAAAGACCTTAGTGACCAAAAAACTAATGGTACCTCTGACTCTATCTTAACATCCTCTCAAGAAATTCTGTGATACACCCTTAAGTAACTCCTTCAGCTAAGGAGAAATTTAACCTTAAGTGTGGCTAGTCACTAACTGTGTCTGTCTGCTGTTTGGCAGCTGGGCGGGTAGCACACGGTGTGTTTCTGCCTCCTGTGGCTGGAAATGACTCTGATGTGACACTTCAGTGAGGCTGAACCTAAGCAGCACAAGCTATGGGCCAAAAACCAAAACGGTCGACTCAAAGACGCTAAAATGCGTTGCTAGGCGATAATTCTCTGTGGGTCTGTCGCTATGAGAAACCCCTTTTCATATTACACATCGGTTGTTTGTAAACAAATTTGAGGAGAGCATCTTTGAGAACAAACTCATTACAGATACATGCTTAACATTTGGCCCACATTCCTCCTCTAAGACTAAGGAGTCAATTAATAAAAAAACATCAGAAACTAGTGTCATGGCAAGTCATCAGCTGAGTCACATTAGATTTGTAAGTTTCTAGCATGCATGAAGGGTTTACAGCTACATGTGGTGGCGTGGCTGCAGAGCCGCTTATGTTTTGCTAAGCTGTACTGGGATCTAGAAAAGAGGAATGCGGATAGGGATCGTAAAAAGAAAAGAAAAGAAAGAGCTAATGTATGGCAGGCTTCTTATGGTCTGTGCACGTTAGACACGTGTCTGCGTACATGTGGTTTTCTGTATTTGAGGCAAAGAATGTGATCTAAGATGCACGTGGATGCCACTGGGTGTGAAATATAAGCGCTTTCAACTGAGAGGCAGTTGAAAGAAGATATCTAAGAACAAATGAAATCGTAAAGAAGTCATAAAAAAATAAGAGGCACTTACTTCCCGATTTCATCGATGACAGGAGCTGGACACAGCAAGAATGTGTTTTCTACTCCAGCCGGCTTTTCATCTAGGAGGCAGAGACAGTGTTTTGATAAATGTATTGTATATTCTTTCGGTTTAGACTCTGATTTATTTAGCTGTCTATTAATGTAAACTAAAGACACTATACAGACAGGTACTTGTAAACTAGATTTGATCAGTAAAGGCTTTAGAAGGTTGATATTTTGTGCCACTTGTGACCATTTCCTGGCAATAAAATTAGATTCAGTAGGAGATTTAGGAGTCTGTCGTATCTCCATAAAGGCTTTAGTACAGTTGCACGTTTCCCCAGGAGGAATACGCAGGTTCATACACCGTAGAAAGACGAGACTATTGTGAACCCTGCTACAGAACAGCTGGGTTTACATTAAAAAGGAAGTGTGGCTCTACTCACTGATTGTAATGGTATCGTTGATTTTGAAGCTGCAGAGCACCTGGTTGATGTTTCTGGCATGGAGGAAACCGTTTCCTCTCACCACCACTTGGAAGGACTCTGGTTACACAACGCACACTGACATTATTACATTTCAAACACTTAGCAGACATTTGATACTGTATGTATTGTAAGTGAAGCTCATTTTCAGCGTTCAAGACTACACAGTTACATTTCACACCCATCGTGGCAAGAAGGGCTGTATTTAAACATGGTTTCTTACAGTAATTCATTTGTTCCTTTGAGCTGTGTCACCCGGATGAAACTGCAACAGGATGTTATGCGAAAATATGGGGCTCAGTCTTCTGATCTCACAAGTGTAATGTGGTTAATTAGGGGGAAAAACATAAAGTATCATCCATAGAAAATGACACTAAAATGCAATCATGAAGGTGTAGGAGAAAACTAATCTAATGAAATAAATAATACTAATTCTAGACTGACGACTCTTCACTTCATCACTACCATTTTCTTGTATGTTTACTTAATGTATGCACTAGTATGTATGTGTATAAATGGGAATCTACTTATGTATATGGTTGTATATGTGCTCATATATATATAGTTCCACTTTTTTCTAATATAGATTTTTTTTTGTTATCCAAGTTGCTGTCACTGTTAAGGAAGGAAACGGAGGAAGGAAACTAATTTGTCCACTGAACAAACTAGTTAGGCATGTGACTTTAATTTATGAGCTCTAATTGGCTCGTAACTGGATGGATAGGATCTGAATAAACAAAATAAAAAAAAGCTTTCCCACACCACAACTGAGCCACTTGAAGTGCTGGACATTCACTTAAATAGCTGCTAATAGTTGCCTGTACCACAGGGAAAACACTCTGATGTCATCTGTAAATGTATAAAGATGGGACTGAACGTGCAGGTTGAGATACTTTTGTCTTTTTAAAGGGTGAAAGTAATCCACTGCTTAATAAAAGGCAAAAGCAGATGTGAAAAACAATAAAAGTCTTTTTGCTTTTGCCAGAAAATGTTTAATCAACCCCCGGCTTTAATCTGTTCATTTCAATCTTTTTAATGTCCATTTAATGTTGCTTTAGCTGTCATAATCTTTCTCTTGGCAGGACACTAAAGCATGTTGTCTACTTTATATTTCAGCTGCAGCCAATCTCACCACTGCTACTCTTCTCGCAGTTAATCCTTTTAATGAGACCGTGTGATATTATTCCCACTGTGGTACTGCGTCCCAATAGATTTCCTGTAAATGACCTGAACGCCCATATATGGTTGTTTTTTTCAGTCTGGGATTGTCATTACTGAAGTGAGAGAAGGAGAATTGAGGCACCCAGTAATAAAATTAACACACACACACTTTGAGAAATGATGGCAGGCTGGCATCTGTGTCAATGACTCAGGCGGGACCCAGTTCAATTTGTGTGAGTGTGTGTGTGTGTGTGTTTCTAGTTTTCTCACCTCCTGCACACACACTGGAGGGCTCAGCTGCCAAAATTTCAATGCAGGATTTCTTGATGATCTGGAAGGGAAACGAGGAGAAAAGACAGTGATTATTTTTCCACACTTAAAGTCTTATTGATTACAATCTGCTCTTACCGGCAGGTTTTTTTCTTTCACATTTTACTGTAACAAAGATTCGCTGAGCTTGTTGACCTTGTTGAGCTTCGGATTTCTCCTTTACACTGTGCAATGGGCTGTAGTACAAATGATCTTATGTTTATTAACAGTTAAGAGGGCGGTGTCTTTGTCTTTTTTAGCCTTTTCAAACTAAAAACACAGAGCAAAAGTGTAAAGAATTGATTTAACAGTGTGTTAGCTCTGCTCCAAGATAAGATGCAGTTGTTAGCATGTCTGTGCTGACTAGCTGACCAACAGCAATAGCCTAGCTGCGAGTTACTGCCGCGGCCAAAGAGCACATCTTTAGCTAACTACATTAGCTTGTAGTGCTTGATATAACTTCTTAGATATACTCCGGTCACAATATCCAAATAGGAAGTAGGTAATTCTACTGACACAGAGCACATGAATGTGGACGTCTGCTTGGCTGCTGTTTAGCTACAGGACCACTTCCCTGCACAGAGACGTGTTTATTTACCGAATCAATGACCCCCCGGAGGGCGTGGAAGCCACCCAGGACAGGAAACACATGCTCGATGGTGTCGGCAATGGTGGCCAGCTACAGGGAGAGAGGAGAGACGAGAGGAGTGGATGGAGGGAAGAAGGGGAGAAGAATGAAAGAATCAATTAACAAAGCTTTTATTAGAAAATTATGGAAAGTTAAATTTCTTCACCACTGCCAGGGATGTTGTTCTGAAATTATGGTAATTGAGTAACCTCAACATTCAGCTCACTGGCTGCGATTTGATATTATCATAACAAGCCGAAATTGGCCTTAAATGTAATATAATATACGATTTTAGAGATTGTAAAGAGGAGGAACTGCACTAAGAGTATGGGCTCTCCCTTTCACATCCTGTTCACATTAATAATCACACCTTAGCAATCAGATAATGGATCAATTTACCATCAATCAAATGGGGCTTGAACTAAACTTGGGGGGGCTGGTTAAAGCCAAATGTATCGGTTACAATCCCTTAGCTCTCAAATATCCATCACATTAAATACAGGAACCTGAATCATCCTCCTCATCATGTTGACGCAAACTCTTCAGGATTATTCAAGTTACATACAAATCTCCAGTCCAGCCTCGCGTGTTGGAATCTGCAGCAGCACTCAGATTGGTTTTCAGGAAATTTTAAATTATGGGTTAGCCAAATTGCGCAGAGGCCACTGAATACACACTAGAGCATGCAACATGGAGGTAACAACATTTTGGATGTTTCCACGGCTCATGCAGTACAGTACATACATGGTTAACTGTGACTGGCTCTGAGATTTCAAAGATAATCACAGTGAAGTTTAGGGAATTGTTTTTTATTTCAAACCTGATGTATAACATGTATGGCATATAAATGTTAAGTTAACCAAATAAAGCACAGATTTATTGCCCTGGAATGGGTATTACCTGTGTCTCATTGAAGTCTTTGACACCAACGCAGTACACAATAGCTCCAAGAGACCTGGCTCTCTCCGCCTGTTGTTAGAAAGAGAGAATAAATGTGTTATTTTCAGAAATCTGGCGCTCAAGCAATGAGAGTATCCCTGCTTCCAGAGCAACCCTGTCACCAGAGCTTTAACTGCAGCAGTTTGGGAAATCAGCCTCAGTATTAGGTTTCTACCTCTTGCTGTGCAGTGATGAGCTGATGCTCCTGCAGCTCCCCGTCTGTCAGTGCAATGATCACGCTGGCCGTGCCTGGAAAAAACATAGAGCTGTGCTGTAACTTCAGCATAATACGATTTAGCCTGTAGTAAGTATTCACAAGGATGAGTCATTTGGTGCTTACCAAAGTTTTCACGGTGTATCTGCTCATTTGCCTTTAAATAAGAAGAAACTTTCAAGGTCAGATTGTCAGGAAACAAGTGATTCAATGAACTCTCATTTGCTTTTAGGTTAAAAAAAAAAAATAAAGGTGAGACCATGTTAAAAAGCAACAGACTTACCCTCTGCAATCCAAGGTGCATGAACGTGTCTCCACCTGGAATCTCCCTTTTCAGAGCATTCAGCCCCTTTCTGATGTCCACTCTGCAGAGAGGAAACAGAGCATAGCTTTTGATGAAGATACAATTCATCTGCAGCTTTATTTCTCACCTGTTTGTCAGTTTAACTCAAGTACTGCACTTAAGTACAATTCTGAGCTACCTGTACCTTACTTGAGTATTCCCATTTTATGCTACTTTATACTTGTACGTCACTGCACTTCAGAGACAAATATGGCACGTTTCAATGCACCACATTTATCTGTCAATCATCTTGCAACGCCTCAGATTTATCTTGTGACCCGATGGAGGGGCCCGACCTCTTATTATAATAATAATAATGATAATAATAAAGCTTTATTTATATAGCGCTTTTCTTAACAAAGGACCAAACTACAAACTGTATATGAAGTAGCTAAAACTCGCTCCACCTTGACCTGCTGCAACAGTAAAATGCAACTTATACACGGATTTATTAATATTAGTAATCTAATGATGTCAGTCAAAGGGGAGATTTTTACTGCAGAATGAGAATGAAGTACGTTTTGCTCTTGGTCATTTTTGTACTTTTTTACTTTAGGATTTTAAATGCATGACTTTTGCTAGTAATGGATTTATATATATATATATATATGTGTGTGTGTATATTTACAGTGTTGTATAAATACTTTTACTTAGGTAAAGGAACTCTTCTTACATCACTGACAACTCAAGCTGGAGACAGCTTTGTTGGAGCTGGAACCTCATTTTACATGATTGTGGTTAATAGTGAGTTTTCCTCTCACGGCACAAAATAACTCTGAGATTTATGCATTGACAGTTAAAGGGTCTTGGGGACTTGGGCCCATTTTCAGCTTCATGTCAGTTTAGGGATCATCTGCTTTCACTCTGGTGTTTGGGTTTGAGTTTACTTTAGGGCTGATTGTTTCTCCATGCTGAAATAACATTTATTTAGAACACACATTCAGATTAGGTTTGTCAGTTCGTTGATAACATTAATCAACAGACTGCGTCAGCCGTAACTTCATTCACCTGTTTTCCGTCAGTTTCATGATGGTGGATGCTCTGGAGGAGAATGTAATGAAGGACATCCTCAGCATTGGACTGGAACAGAAAAAAAACATCATCACACCCAATATTCAGCCCATGATTGGTTTCAGTTTTTTTTTTTTTTTTTTTAATAATAGAGTAGATGACGTACAAAAATCCCCACTGCAAGTCACTGATCATATGGCCAATGACTGATTGTAACTATAAAAGATGAATTTCCACAGCATTTGGCTGCTGGTTGGTGTTTCCCTACCTTGCACAACATGTAGTACAACTAATGCACAACATTTCAACATCATCATCAATCATTGCAGGAATACTTGCACAGCAACATATTGTTTTCCTCAGAATCATAAAATAAGTAAAGATCCTTTCATTTAAACAATGAATAGCTCATTGAGGACAAATTACCTCACTTCCTTTGTCTGTGCATGAGCTATTTTGTTGTTTTGAATGCAGCTCAACACACTGAGACGCAATCTGACACCATGCATGGCTCCGAGCCAATGTCAGGATTTGGTCCCTTGTGCGTGACAGTGACTTCGTTGCTGACATTCAGATGTGAAAATATTTGTTACTTTTGTTTATTGGTGAAAAAGCATAATAAGAAAAGAATTGCATGCATGTAAACACACACATGCTTAATTATCTGACCTGAGAAGTGTGTTGCTTGTGAGACGGAATAAGTTAATACAGATTTGTGCTGTTTATAACTTTCTCGTGTGTGTTTCAAACTGAAACTTTGAGGAGGTTTTATTGTTTGCTTGGGCTAAACCGCAAACCTCCAGGTGTTGTTGTGGAAGCAGAAACAAAGCCGTCCATGAGCTGAAGGACAGATGTTAGTTGAAATATTGCATTTTATTCCACACTTATTTTTCTAGTGCTGCATTGCATTAAAATGTAGATTTCATTTTGATTGTTGCTGAAACTTATCATAAATATAAGATCTGAGTATCATTTGGCAAAAGTGTTATGTTAGGTTTTGTTAGCCTTGTCCATTTAAAGCATCCATCACACCACCATTTCCCAGCATTCATAGCACTTTGCCTTCTTCTCAGTCTAAAGAGGCCGTAAAACCAAGACCGGTCATATCCGTAAAGACCTTCAAGCCTGTATTCACTGCTGGCAACCCCGCTGACATCAGACGTCAAGCCAGCTACTGCAGAGACAGAGTGAGACATCAGCCTGGAGACTGAGTGACCAGTTGTTGCTGCAGGGACAGATTTTATTTTACTTTACCGGGGTGACTGGTGTGTAAAGTGTGGGTTTCTCATCAGTAATCTACATCTCCGGGCTCCAGGAAGTCAAGCACAGAGGCAACAAGGCTTTTAGTGTCTGGAGACTCGCAGTCTATTTGTGAAACTTTTCACGGCCTATGTAGTTCCACTTTTTCCTGCATATTTGTTGGGTTGATTGTGTTACCATGTACTGTATGTTTACATACATGTTTATGCTCTTACCTTTTGAATTTCTCAGCTAGATTCTCCACAAAGTAGTAGATTTCATCCCAGTGATTCTTCACACTGCCAGACCTAAGACAAAGAAAAATGGAAAACCATTAAGAGAAAAGTTAAGCCTAAGAAATTCATCTTAATTCAACATCTCAGCGTTCCTGAAACAAATCAAGTTATCGGTTGTGTACAACAGTCATGAATAAACATACAGTAACTGATACCTTTTCTTCAAAGCACATATTAGTCATTATAAGATAGCATGGTTGGAAGATAACAGATAGTTGCAAATGTAATTTCTGTGAGTCACAAATGATTTGTCCTGGAAGAACTCAAACAGAATACTAAGGTTTAAGCTATTTTTCAGACACACACAAATCTCCATATGGCAGTGCAGTAAAACAAGAAAAACACAGCTTTGTTAGCCAAAGACAACAGGGGGTAAAATCATTAGCTCCATAACATGAAGCACAAGCTGAACGTGTACTGGGAAGAACACAACTGTTTAACGTGTTACTGAGTCTTTACTATCTATCAGAGTTATCTCTAACAAAAATATTTGTTTTTTGTTTTTGTTTTTTTACCAGAAGAAGAATAATTTATTCCACAGTCACTATCAAGAGCTAGCATGCTCTTTAGCTGTCTAGCTAGCAACAGATAGCTAGCTAGTACATCCTTTTTATCTGTTACAGACCCTTGTAGGAAAGGATATTAAAGCTAAATTTGATAAAGAACATGGACCTTCCTGTTTATGTATCACAAACACCACTGGGGGAAACTCTTTAAAACAATTACCCTGTGCTGTACATTTGGGGGGGGGTGGGGGGGGGGGCAGTAATGCACTGGTGAGATAAAAGAGGCTGGTGGCGTGGTCTGGTGTGTAATTTAGCACCCCTCTGGTTCCTGAATGAGCCCCTGAAGGCTGAGGAAACAGGCCCTGCTCTCCCCAGGGGGACCTCCATAAAACTGGACTATCATTTACAGAAAAAAAAAAAAAACTCCCCATGGTGCTACCTTAATTTCCTCTGGGCAGACTGCATGTGTGTGCGCGCATGTGTCTGTGTGTATTTTTACCAATTTCATTAAGTGTGTGTGTGTGTCAAGGGAGAGGGCTTCCGGCGCGATGCGACCAGTCAGCAGGTCATTCGTTAGCTTAACGAATGAGCCGGAGAGATGACACATGGGAAATGAGCTAATTGACTGTGGTAAAACTAGAGGCCCGTTTAGGGGATGAAGCTTACTTAGAATAAAGAGCAGGGCTGACTGAATGTTATTCTAGGTGCCGACTGCCTGATGTAACAGCCTTAGACGCACTGGAATTGGCCAGCGATGATGTGTTGTTGTTTCTCTGTATGGGACAGAAGGTCAACACCAATTTTTATCCACAGGGATTAACTGGATTTATTGAAGAACCTCCATTTAGCACAATGCAGTCCACTGAGAAGTCTTTGTTTCTGCAAAACCCGAAACTTAAGAGTGCCTTTAAAGGTCTACCTTTATTGTTGACTGCAAGAAAATACTTTAATTAGTGACATCAAACTGCAAGTCATTTTAAAAGTTGATATTTTACATAACAACAACAACTCAGATATGACTTCAATTCATGATGTAGGATATAAATAAGTTCATTAACAGGCAAATTTTGTAATGACTTGTGTTTCGAGGAAAAAAAAAAAGGAAGCAGACTAAACAGTGACTCTGTTATCGTAGTTTACCTTCAGTTGTATCAGTTCCCATCAAACTAGAGGCCCAAAACTGTGTTTGGGATTCACATCTAGACACAATAAACAGAATGAACCATTTCTCATTTCGCCTCTTTGAACTTTCCGTGCCTTGGTGGCTGATGGGAAAACATTTGTTCAGCAAATGAGGTTAATCCCAATTATCTCTGCAATGTATTTTGATTATTTGGATATTTAAAGATACAGGAACCAACTGAGACTTTAGAAAACAGCACCAGCTACATGGCCAAACCCTGAAATGGAAATGAATTGTGACTGATGTTATTTGTCTGCAATTGAGTGTCACAGAGGTTATACCCAGTGGTGTTTTTATGTTATTGCTCAGCAGTGGAGGGGTAATTATCTGGCTATACTCTGGGGTGGGAATAAGAGGGGACTTTCCCATCATGCCTCAGTAATTCAGTGTTTTTATCCTGCCAAACCAGACTCTGGATCTGGATTAAATGCCCTGTTTGGTAGACTGAATGTTCACCAAATGGACTGTGTTTTGTTTCCTTGTGCACCCAAATGTTCTGCTTTTAAAATAACAATAAGATGGATGCCCCATAGCTTATATATTATCTTTAAGAGATTAATAGTCAGCCATCTTTTCAGTTCAGCGATTACTTTTGCAGATGCTGCAAGGTCTGACTCTTAAAACTCAACTCAAAGAAAAACTCTGCAGCTACGAGCATTTCAGGGAAGATCAGCATGAGCAACAGTAGCTGTCAGAGTTCAAAAGAGAACCAGCTCATACTCGAACGTCAGCAACAGAAAATCCAAAGAAAACAAACAGATCGATTGCTCATAAGATGAGCTGCCACAAAGGAAGCAAGTACAAGATTAGTTGACCATTGAAGTAACACTGCCAAGGCTCGAGGATCAGGTTTGGGTTTCCCACGGGCCACCCATGCTGGGATGTCTATTCCAAATACAATAAAGCATCCACAGTAACATATACATCTTACGTAAGATTCAGTGTTTTCCCTCTTCTTGTCCGGACAGATACAAATGCCGGTCAACTAAACATCTTATGCTAGCGTTTTCTCAGTTTTGTTGTTGTTCTGATGACATGACTTGTCCCCCCACCCCCCCCACATCAAGGTTTTACATTCCTGTGAGGCTGACGGTGCAAAGAAAGAGGACAAGACCTTACAAGCTAAACAAGAAAATCCTCCCAAAATAAAAACGCTTGAGGAGGAGGAGGAGGAGGAGGAGGAGGAGGAGGTGTTTAACTTGGATGTCCAACAAAATGTGCAGCGTAAACAGAAATAGTCACACAAGGATTGCACAGAGACACACACACACACACACACACACACATGCACAGAGACGGCCTCTAACCTGAAGGAATGGCAGGAGCCAGTTTCCTGTGCAGATTGTTCCATTACAGCAACAGAGGAGCGGAAAAAAAAAGAAAAAAAGAATATAGAGTCTGGTAAAACTTTCCTGCAGCTAATACTCATGTAGAGGTGTGGGGATCATTTTTGAGTGTTTATTTAACATCAGGGTGAATCTGAGGACTCCCAGCTTTTGGTTTTCAGCTGCTTATCTTTATTTCTGAACCACAATGACTCTTGTTTGCCTTGGAACGGTTCAATTGTCTTGAGGTGGCTGCAGTCGTGGGACCGAGGCCTAGCTTGCAGTTTCACTCACCTGTTCAAACACCATAGGGAGAGGAAGTGGGCCATTTCATTCTATGATTCTTGATGAAACCATTTAATGCGGTGCCCTATTTCCCACTCAATCCTTTGATCTAATTTTAATGGTCTGAGCTGAGGCCTGAAGTTCGGCGGTTTGGGGTTTGGACGCAGAAAATAAAGGTTTTGAGAGGTGAGAGTGGTTATAATTTGCAGACAAAGTGATTGCACCCAACAGCAGTTTGAACTTATGTCATAGCAAATCGTCAAAAGCTGGGTGACAGTGTTTTCCTGATTTGGATAGAATCACAGAGCAAAGATAAAAAGCATGTGTCTGGCTTTCTGCCATTCGAGGGGTGAGAGGAAAAGAAACAAAAGACAGGAGGAGAGAGGAGGGAGACAAAGAGCCTAATTGTTGAGATTACAGAGATTACAGTAAATTTAGCTGACTAAGAGTGAGATAATTTGTAAAATCTGTTGGCTCGATCGCAGACTTGTCTGCCAGAGGAAACATGGCGATGATTCGACGAAAGCTTCAACCTAAAGGCCAAGTTCCTCTCTGACCTGCTTCAGCCAACGCATCTGGCAGACACGTCAAAACAGCCTCACGAACCAACACCACCAGACGACCAAAACAAGGAGTAAACTACTGATTAAATCTCGCTGCGGTTTACATATATTCGTTTGACTTTCTTTTTTCTAACTTATTTTTACTGGGTCCACAGCACTGATCGGCATTACTGTTAATGTGCCAGTGGTGCCAAATGCGTTGCTAGTTCCCAGCTGTTTGCCAGATTTTTGAATTAGCCATTTAAAACAACATTAACAACCATTTGAAATCAAAGCAAAGAGTCGGGCAGACAAAACATGAACCCGATCAAGCAAAAAGGACCAAACCTAAGAAAAGAAATATTGAGGAAGGCAAGAGTAGATGCCAAGTAGTGCAGAGCAGAACATGAAAATAATGGTGGAGGTAATTAAAGCAGGTAATTACTACACAACAAAGTATAGTGCGATGTTAAAAGAACAAAGGTTGTGCAGTAATCTGGCAGACAGAAAAATCAGGACGATGACAGAGAGGGTGTGCAGACATTAGGCATTATATCAGCTCTTAAAGCTAATTTGAAACCAAAACAAGTTTTCCTCCCTGGGAAACCAGTTTTCCCTCTTATCATTGATCTGGTAAATATGTCCTTAGTATTTTTCTGAATTATGAAATTCTGAGTGGGAGGAAATGCCATGTCATGATGAAGAATAATTTTCTTTCAGCTAAAAATGTTCTGTCTCCATGTCCAGGGATTGTGTCGCAGTAATGCCTCTAGGGTTTGTTGTCCAGGGATCATAAGAGCTTGTTTACAGCTGATAAAATGAAACAAAGGACAGCAAACAAACAAGGAATAAACAGTTGATGAAATCCCTGAAGGGTCTGCAGGATATCCACTGTAGTCTGCGCTCTCCTAACGGACAAACACTGCATCTAATATTTAAAAAGCTGTGGTTTTAATGTCCCCAGTGGAAGTTCAGCTTGAAGAAATGGTCTGCAAAACTATACACTGTCTAATTTAGTTGAGAGTTAAGTTGTCTAAAAGTTTACATAGTTGTGATTTACAGTCATTTCTGCTGCTGCTGCATCAGTGCATCATTCAGTGCAGTAATCTACTGTTTCCAAATAGCTGCAGGCATTGAGGGAGGTAATTCCCATCATCATTAGTGTTCAGCA